GTAAGTAATCAATATTCACTAACATTTCGTTTCACATTTTTTGGCATGAGTTACGGTCTTTCCTCCTACATGCAAAAACGGAAATGGGAAGATAGGTATACCACGACTAAGAATGACAGTGAATTAGAGAGACGTTTTAGATGTCATGTGAACTTCCTCTTAGAGAAAGTGTAGAAACTCATTCACCGAGGATGAAATAGCATAGCCATGTTATCAGCTAGGTTTGATTATTTCCGAGATATAAAACAGAACGAAATACTGTCGAACGCTTAGAGGCTCCTTCGGCCACACAAACATCCAAACTTTAGCTTATTTCTTAAAAATCTGGTCCGAAAAGAATTTAAAAAAAATAAAAGGAAGGGAAGAGAAAAGAATGTATATACACACGAAAGGAATGCAAGAACAAGTAATAAATTCTGGAATGCGACTGAAACTTGAACGAGACGGAAAGAGGAAAAGCAAACAATCGAACGACTTTCGGGAAGGCCGCTTGCTCAAATGCTGAGTCATGGGTGTCTAGGCAACGCTGTGACAGGGAGTCCGCGAGGTGGTTGTTTTCCCCTTCCAGTCAGTCATGTTAAATGTTGCTTTGTGGCGGGAGATTAAATGTTTAAGTTTGGGATTCAGCATGATTTACAAGATGTTTTAAATGATTTATGATGAAGATATATTTTATTTGTGATTTTAAAATTTGTATTTGAAATTTATTAATATACATTGTGTTATGCTTTTCTTATTGCTAGAATAGATACAAGGAAATTGATAGACGAATATATCATATATATATATATATATATATATATATATATATATATATATATATATATATATATATATGTGTATATATATGTATGTATGTGTGTGTGTATATATATATATATATATATATATATATATATATATATATATATATATATATATATATATGATGTGTGTGTGTGTGCGCGCAATGTAAATAGATGTTATCTATTGAACATAATTATCTGAATCTAAATGAAAACTCACCAAAAAAACTGGAGCAATCAGCCCTAAGACCCAAGATCTCTTATTAGGCCAACAGTATTGTTACTGATAAAATACTCGATTCAATATCTAAAACTCTTTTTTTTTAAATTTTAGTCCAGGACAGAGAAAGTTGTTTCTCGGCAGCATACCTGTTGTCTGTTGCTCAAAAAATCTGGATGCCACTCGACCGCCGGGAAGCACAAGCATCGCCGTCAACATTTCCTGGCGACTCACTGTTGACAAGCAGACGGCAATGCATGACTGCTTTTGTCAGTTGATCTTATTTGGATGCTTTGCGCCTAATTATTGATTATTCAAGCACAAAGACGTTTATGGGTATCTATACGCACACATGTATATGTATATATATGTGTGTGTATATATATATATACATATATATATATCTACACATATATATATATATATATATATATATATATATATATATATATATATATATATACATATACATATATACACACATACATACATACATACATGCACACACACACACACACACACACACACACACACACACACACACACACACACACACACACACACACACACACACACACATCTCAACACTCGCTTGTGTGTGTTTGTGTATATATACGCACGGGCGTGTCTGTGTATTGGAATCTGTTTTTATGCAATATTCCCACCAAGCTTATATCTTGATCTTTACCAAAAAAGCAAGAATAGAGCAGATAAAACTTGTTTAGGCAAAGCTCAGCGCGAGAACAGCTTGCAATTACCAGCGTCCCCCACCTTGATCCAGATCGGCTGCTAATCTTGCCATCAACTTCATCCTTCTCTCTCCTCGCGTCGCCTCGTCTAGCTTTTCACGACACTGATGTCGGTGACGCGGCACTTGTCTTATTGTCATTAATGAAACTGGCGATAAAACAGACTTCGTTTTCATAACATTGTAAAGATTTGCCAAGTCATTTCCTCGAATGAAATATATCGGGTATAATTTGCAATCCAGTCTCGCCGACATTGGTGCGTCTGCATTCAGAAGACTTGCCAATTTAACAACTTATATGTATAAGGTATTTGAGTAACGGCGCAGCGAATGGATGAATGGCAGATAAAGCATAACCCTTAAGGAAAATGATTCGGGCACTTTATCGTTAAAATATAATGATAAGAAACGTGGAAAGGAAATTCGGAATGATCAATTGTTTAATCGTCCATACCTTACGAAAAGTTGATTATTAAATTAACAATCATTAATAAATATGCAAAAAACAATACACTTTTAAGAATATAGTAAGTTTTCAAACTTGTTTTTGCTCCAAATAATCTAATATCGCATTTCATATCCGACTACTGGTGTGCATGATATAGAAACAAGTGATCCAAAATCGGCTTCAGCCTGGGAGAACCACAGACGGCGTCACGGCATTCTTCTCTCAGTGACACGTCGCCATCAGGAAAGGCCAAACGGGTTAGGCTGCCCTGTGCAGATCGCGTGACGCTGCGGTTGGGGGAGGGGTTAGAACAGATGGAAGGAAGGAAGAAAGGAAGGAGGGAAGAAAGGAAGGAAAGAAGGAGGGAGCAAAGGAAGGAAGGAAGGAAGGAGGGAAGAAAGGAAGGAAGGAAGAAAGGAAGGAGGAAAGGAAGGAGGATAGGGAGGCTCAAAGATTGTGCAACAGAAAAAAATAAGGATATTATAGGTGTGGGGGTATTTAGAGGGAAGGAAATAGTAAAGAAATATATATTAAAACAAAGCCAGGTATTGGCAATTATAGGTAAAAGATCCAATTTGGGGAAATTTCAAAGTTGTCTGCTGGTAATGAGGTTCATGAACTTGTGTAGTGGCCACAATCTTTTACGAAATTACAAAGATAAAAAAAAAAACTTCCATACCTAACATATTCACCAATGCATCATTATCAACTCATTCAACCAAATGCGCAGTTCTGTAGTTCAAGCAACAGGCAGCTTCTTGTTCTCTCGGCACGGAATACAAGCAAAACCTTATTGCCAACCTGCGCTGCAAGCTGACCAAGGAGAGAGCTTAGTAATTAAGTGGACACAAGAAAGGAAGAAAGTCGAGAGAATGTATAGCAACCTAGTTTACCGCACCTCCGTTATAACCTCGCGGAAAGGTCAGTTTGCGCACGGTAGTTAGGAGAACAACAAAGGTCAGAAAAGGTTTATGGATGATATATTACACGAGAGAGAGAGAGAGAGAGAGAGAGAGATAGATAGATAGATAGATAGATAGATAGATAGAGAGAGAGAGAGAGAGAGAGAGAGAGACGAAGAAAGAGAGAGAGGGAGAGAGAGAGAGAGAGAGAGAGAGAGAAAGAGAGAAAGAGAGAAAAAAGAAAGAAGAACAAGTCAAAGAGAATAACGATAAAAAAAAACAAGAAACACATGAAAGCCAGCAAGCGTGAGAAACTGATTGACAGGTAAACAGAGATAAAAAGAGAGAGAGTGAAAAAAAATTGCAATCTCATTTTTGCAAAGGCGCTCATTACAATTCTCCCAAAGAGCTCTGCAAGTGACGTCCCTGTTGCCAAGCGCTGCAGCCACTTTCGCCAAGTTCAAGGCCGCCGTCGCGAGGGGGGAGGGGGGGCGAGGGGGGGACCGACGACTCAGCGAGATCACCGTTACTTCACTCAATCATGATGTATACTTTAAGTGAGGTTCAACTTGCATTATTTGTACGTTTGTCGCTTTGCAAACATCGTCTTCTCTTGACCTCCAATGCGGCGTTGTTGTTTTTTTTTTTATTATTCTTTTTAATGTTGTATTTTGGGGTCTTATTATCTTCCTTTTCTGTCTCTGTCGAATCGGTGATGACTACCAGTAGAAATAATTGTAGCTAATTATTCGTTTTTTCTTCTTTCTCATTCTTTCTCTGTATTAACGTTTTTTTCTTAAATTCTACTTTTGTTTTCATTTACTTTTTTTAAGGTTTGAACTCTCACTAGCTACTTTTTTTCTCTCCCAATCATTTTTCACACGATATCAAACTTTCTCCCTAAACTTACCGGTTTTTATAATAAAGAAAAAATATAAAAAAAACACACGCTATTACACCACGCTTTTGTCTTAATTGCGGTCTGTCGCGTATCATGAATCGAAACGTTTTCTTAAATATTAATCTACTTTCACTCGCTTTAGAGCAGTCTCCTCTCGCTGACACTCGCTCACTCCTCCGACCCCTGTAACCTCTCTGAATGAACGTTGATTCTGGAACGAAATAGTGATATGCAAGGACGGTTTTCTAAAGGAGCTGAAATAGTGTTCTAATTGTTGACAGGACGCGTGTGCAACTTTTTGCTTAAGAGCGAGTGGCCTTTGAACTAGAAACGAAAATAGGAGAGAAAAACGATGTCAAAGCGATTTTTAAATATTGTGTGGGTAGTAAAAATGCATATGATGCGGTATTCTTGTACATTAGATGCATGTAATTTTCTTATGATTATTGGATCAGTTTGTCCAAATGACGAGTTACTTCGTGGAGCTAGCGAGTTTCTTAGACGTTTTCTGTATAGCCTGAGCTCGTACAAGGGGAGACTTTGGTATTTAGTTATTCTACTGCCTTTTACGGAAGATGCATGAATAAGCGTAATGTTTCTTTGGCCAAATACGTTTCACTTGTCATGGTAATCGTACATTATCAAGCTTCTCACACTCTTCAAAATGGCACAGCTGTGTTGGCCAATCTTTGATGCAGGAAATGCAGATTTTAAAATTATAAATGGATTTTTTTTTACTGACTTGTTTCAACCACACTTCCCGTTTTATATTTCAAAATATATGAACTGATCTTATTACTTTCATACTTTCATACATATAACTTGTTAGGCCACTCACTTACGCCCGCACACACACACACGCACACACACACACACACACACTCGCACACACACACACACACACACTCGCACACACACACACACACACACACACACACACACACACACACACACACACACACACACACACAAACACACACATATACACACACACAC